TCCTGCTGAGTTCTGAAAAAAAGAATCAGCAGTTTTTCTACGCACTCAATTTAACTCTTATTTGCTTTTAAGAAGAGATAACACTATTGCTTCTGAGCCTCGAAGCAGCGACAAGGAAATGAACAAATCTTGTACTTAAGATTCCACTTCAATATAACATAACAAACAGAAGTGAGTTTTCAAAGAAGGGCAGGGGGGAAGCAGGGGCAGACAGCAGTGAGAGATATTAAGAGATATCTCAAGGTTGGTTATGTGAAATACTATGTTCCTCCAAGTCTTTCAGAACAGGAGGCACTGAATTTTGCACAGCTAAAAACACAGAGCCTTTATTACGTTTTCCATAAAATAAAGAACATGGAGTTTTATAGCAATAATTGAAGGGTATTATATCCACTGGCACTTTGCCACAGAATTTTAAGTAATTCTAGATTTTGGACTTATAACTATATCCAAGCCAGTACAAAATGATGAATTTGTATGATTTCAATAGCATCAACTGGAGCTTCCATTAAAACATAAAGGTCCTAAACATTTGGCATACACTGACACACTTAAAGTTCAAAATAACAGTTTCAGACACACACACAAAAAAAGATCTACAGATCTGATCCTCTTACCATTCCATGCCTGCAACTACAAGAAACAGAGTTCAGTAAGTGAGGTAGTTGCAGAATTAAGGTCCCCTTTCCATGCAAATTCAGAAAAGCTAATTGTTTACATATGATAAAAGACAAACATTTCACTTTAGAGAAATAAGAAAAAATACATACCTTTATATATTTGCTACTAAATGCCCTTTCATTCCATATCTATAAAGGAAAAGTAAAAAGCCATTTAGAAAAATCAGGATATGTCAATGCATAATGAAATATTTTATTTAGGTATATATAAGATTACACAATCCATTAGCGAACTCCACGGCTTCAGTTTGCTACAGAAAGTGCTCTCGTTGGTTTTGTTATCAACTCTTCAGGGGAAAATTCTATATGAAAGTTCAAAATAGCTGCTTGCTTATCTATCTCTAAGGTCTACTGATTGCCTTCTTGCTCAAAAGAACTCTAGAGCTGCTTGAGCTCTACAATGGTAGCAGTGTCACACATGACACATTGTAGACAATGGGTCTACAGTTTGTTAGAAATCATTGAGAAACACATTGCGGCTTCAAGGTGTTTTCCTAGCAAATGGGCCCTGTTGCCATAGGCTGATATAGCAGAGCTAGAACAAGTTACATAGCGAACAATTGCCTACATTTTCAGGGGGTTACTCAATGAAACTAACAGTTCTTTTTAATTACACAGGACTGTAGCCATACTTGAACACAGGAGAGATCCAGCATAGTTTTAGTAAACAGACACAAAATTATCTCACTTCTGTTGCTCTGGATTTTCCATCTTTGAGTGTTTAAGCTAAACACAGCTCAAAATTCAAAAGCAGAAATGCTGGGCTTCCTTTCTACCAAATACCCTCGCCAATAAAATACATAGTCAGAAACTTTCTTTCTTTCTTTTATTCAAACCACAACACGAACACTGTGACTCACATCCAACAGTAAAGGTGAAAGTACCCCTGTACATGTAGATTACCCAAGCATGTACAAGCAGTTTCTTGAAGGTGGGATACGTCCATTTGATTTTGATAGTTCTAAATCCTTCCATAAGTGCTAATATGTGACTTCAGAAATAAGCCAATCAAAAAAAAGTTACTTACTGAAAGGCACATTTCATCATAAAGCAAATAACAATATATAACACATGCTATAAACCAAAAGAGCAATAAAGGCTAACAATGTAGAATCAGAAAAGCATTAAAATTGTTTTGCCACTTTCTGAGCTTTCACAGAGCTCACTGCCTCCCTGTATTTCAGATTCTACCCACAAAGAAACCAGACATGATGCAATGTCTACATTGCCTGTAGAAGCAGAAATTCCCTTTTCTTAGAAGTATAGAATCCAGAAGGCCAATCACCATGAAGTAACAACACAGAAACCAGACATTACTCAAATTTGTAAAGTGCAGAACTTACCTTCTACTCTAAGAGCAAAGCAAGGAGGAAATTTAACAGCATTTGTTCTCCCTGTGCCCCCAACTGAATTGCTGAAGCATCACTGTATTACCCAAAGTGCAAGACTGACACAGCTCAAATAAGTCAGCAACATCAAGGGGAATGCACTCCAGGGGAGATATACATCAGATACACCTTCCCGCATTACAGCGGCAAGATTAGACTTCCTTTGAGGGATGGGAACCATAGTTTCAGAAGCTTTGCTCTGGACTGCTGAATTGATTTTCAGCTTTCTGCAGTTAGACAACTGTCTCATATCAAAACACTTAAAAGTCCAAAATAAGTGTTTCAGTAAGTACAGGACTGATTTTAGAGGAATCCTAGCCACACATTTTCTTAATCAGAATTAAAAATAAAAAGTTCAATCTCAGTCAAATAATGAACTTGAAAGAGACAAGACCAAGATCTTAGGAATGAAGATAGATAAAATATACAGGAGATTTTGATTTACTGACCCCAATATAATCAATATCCAAATCATGATACTGTTTAGCTCCTAATATCCAAGAAATAACATAGTAAGCAGTGACATCTGGATAGTCATAGGGCCAGTTTTCACCCCTCCCTATCCATGCCGGAAATGTCCAAGGTAATCCTGGAAAGGGAGAAGAAAAACAAGTGAATACGAAAAGTGGTTGGTCCACATTACTCAGGAAGCTTCAACAGCGAGCTGTAATTTGTTCTACCTAAAATGAAGGAGCTGATATGCACTTCAAATTCACATAGTTCCAGAAAAGGCAATAAACCATATTATTATTTAACTAGAGAGTACGCGTTAATATAAACTGTGATCAAACATATTAATAGCTGCTTTTTTTTTTTAAGCTAGAAAACCTTACTAGAGAACAACCGAGTACATACAGTCTTTCAATTGTGTGGTATTAGCGCTCTCACGTTTAAAATTCCAAAGATTTTAGGATAAAAATTTACAAAGTTACAGACAAAGGATCAATACTGAACTCCAAAAACTGTTAATCTCCTGAATATGAATTTCAGAAGAAGTGATGATCTGATCATAATAGAGGAAGATAGATTAGGATCATGAAAAATCATTTCCAAGTCTCAGCTGTTTAGTGATCTTGTAGTAAATAACAACAAATTAACCTAACCAGATGCTGCTAAGTTTTCAGCTGACTTTGAATTAGCCTATGGTGTCTTATACAAAGGCAAACCCTCCTTCCTTTGTTGAGAGCTTGATCTGAGAGAAGAGGGAGGTTATTAATAATCACAATTAGTGATAGATGGTAAGCTTACTGCTTGTAATAGTGCCTGTCTAACAACCTGACTAGCAAACCCTGCACCAAGTGATGCCTTGTGGCTGGATATGGCAAAGCCTGATCCCTGGAAAAAGGGGGGATTAGATACTGTTTAATTGATAGATTTCTCACCTTGCTTCATATGAAATACATTTTGTAAAGTGTTTCAATTAAAGTCTAGCATTCCACATTTGTACTGACACAGCACACATACAACTCATGATCAGAATGGCGAGACAGGAAAGTCCTCTTACAACTCAACTACATACACAAGACAAATCAGAAGACAAGAACCACTATAGTGAGGAGGGGGTGATGGGTTTGTAATAAGAACATAAAATTAAATTTAGTGCATGTAAGGTTTACAGATTTATACTTCCTGTAAGTTTACTTTATCCCTTAGAATTTTTTTTACTCTTATTCAGAAATTCAGCTCTCATGACAAATCATTTATGTTCATTGCTGTGATACTAAGCATTAATGTTATTTGATACAAGTAAATTATTAGATAGTTATTTCTTATCCTATGCTACTTGTTACATACATTCTTGTTATGCTACTTGTTATATATTGTGCTACTGTAACAAAGTAAAACACAGTAAGTTTAAGTGACACATCAAGGCAAGCTTACCAAATATTAGAGATTCTACTTTGCCTACTGCAACATCAAACCATCTGCCAATTAAAATTAAAATTAATAAGCTAATTAAGGGTCAGATATGTAATTTAGTGTGGGGGGAAAGCATTTAAATCCTAAAGCTTGAAGCAATTTACCAATCAGTTTAATTTGGGGGTTCCTCTTTTTGGCTTCTTTCATCAGCCACCACTCATAGCCCCGGAAGTAATTCTCATCATTTTCATAGTGCATATGGGAGGGTTCAGTGCCATCTAGGAAGGAAAGAAGCAGGTAGCTCACAATTATCTTCTGTGTCATAAGCTGTTACACACTATTAAGTTTTCTGTATTGCTCACTGCCACAGCATGCAAGCACATACCTCCAACATGGTTCACATGTTCTTTGGTATGTATTTCAAAGCAAAATGAGTGCTGGGAGGGCACACACAAGACTTGCCAACCCTCATTCTTAGCATATTAACTTACCGTATTAACTTAGCATAAATTTAATTTTTATTTTTAAGGGACTATGCCTGCTTTCAACATCAGATTTTTCTGTGCCTAGCTATGATAGTGCTAAATCTATATTCATGATTATCTTGGTCCCAACAACCGCTAGAAAAGTTACAACATTAAGATCAGGAAGGAGAAAAAAAAAAAAAACCACCAACCAAACACACATACATTTCTAGAAGCTGGTTATATCTAAACCAAAAAGCAAACAAAAGAAGGTTATAGTTTGCTCCTTCTGTGCAAGGTAAATCCAGGGAGAGGAAAGAAAGGAGCTGCCATGAAGTTTTTTCAGTGACAGGAAAAAGTTCTTTTTCTTATTATAGTAAAAGATCTAGTTTGTAATTTTTATGGTATTACATAACTGCAGGAAGACTTTTTGGAATTGAAGGCTATGCACTGAATTCCCTCAGGCAAAGGTAAATGAGCTAAAAAGGTGCAAAAGAATCAGTGTTGCATGGGAAGTCATTACACACAAAAGTCAATTAATAACTTGTGCTCGCAACTGCAACAATTACATATACTAACCTATATGCCTAATTGTTCTAGAGATCTCCTCTAATGGGACTTTTTTTTTAATGAAGCTTGCTGAAACAGCGCATTTTATTACAGAAAATCGGATTTTTTTTATTTTTTTTTTTTAACCTTACTCACACTTGACTATTTGGAAGTTCTACTTGTCAGAGACCTAGAACAACAATAAGATTCTAAACTTAGACTCCTGATCACACCTCTGAGGTCAGAATAAGAGCTGCAGTATAGCTTGTTAAGATATATGCATCTTATTATTCTCCTCCTAAAAACCGGGAAGCCATCACACAAGTATGTAGCATTCTTCTTAGCCAGCAGCAAGAGTGTTTGAAGAGAAGGTCTGTGCATGCATGAAGACAACTCCACTCTCCTCTAACCAGCAACTTATTGACCAAATACTGAGCTCTTACACCCAGTATAATACTTCTCACCATGTTAATTTTTCTTAAGGAAGTAAACCAAAGAATGAAAAACAATATCTAATTACACAAACACAGATATTTAAAAT